CTGAAAGCAGAGACATGGTTAACACTGGCCATAAAACCAGAAGAGTTTAAGAAAACTCCCAACGATGCGTTAGCGGATACGGTGAATGTGGAGGAAGAGGCACATGATCGTCTTCCTCGCGCGGCAATTATAAAATTCGCTTTGTTTCCGGCGTTGCGTTTCAAGTTCACTTTTTGCGAAACAAAACCTCCTTTTGACGAAACAAAACCTTAGCGAAACTTATAATTATGCGTCGGAGTCAAACTTTTGCGAAACAAACAACGCCGAGTTTATTCAAACGAAGGAAGAAACAAAAGCGGGTTGTGGTCATTCAAACAAAGGGAGTAACAATAGCGCACTAAAGCCATTGTTCAGTTTGCCGCCACATTCAAGTTAATGAGTATTGCCGCGCGTTCATAGCAACCAATAAAAAAGCTTCTTTCTGGGCTTCCATGAATAATAATAAGCGTTATGACAGACCTATGCGTCTTCTTGAACTGTAAGTAAATGTCACAAGAACAATAGCCATTCTACGCTATGAGTTTTTTTTATCATCGTAATTTGCACGTTACATGAGAAAATCTTCTTTAAGCCTGTTATAATTATTTTAGTAATCAAAAATGTATTTGATCGAAGCTATAGTAAAAACTACTTCTATTCGTAGAAAATGGAAGAGAAATTAACTATATTTTTAACAAAAACAGTTCACTTTTCAGATTTTGGTAAATCCTTCTTCGGCAAAGTCGATGAGTCGAGCTGACGTTTTGAGCGCTTGGTCATTTGGTCTGAAACTCTATGCGTTTAGAAATGTAAGCATGGATCATTCTTAAAACTCTTCGTGTTGGAGAGATCTTCAACAACTTCGTAAATGGTAACAATTGACTATTTCTAAAGTTCTCCACTGAGTAATTCCTTTCCATAATTGTAATTAAAGCATGCTGGTTCAGTCAGACTTGCTAATAGTTCAAAATAAACTTCAATACCTTGTTTATCGTTGGTGAGATCGTCAGTCGAAAGGATGTTCCAACTCAAGCTACAGCCACAGAAAAAGCCAAAACTAGTTTATCTTCAAAGGTTCTCATTTATCTCACTCAAACAGAACAATGCCTTCCTTCAAACTTGGCCTTCTCTTCCGAGATCGGCGACCCCGAGACATGTAACTGTGATGTCATAGTGCTAAGCTATCGTATCAAATGTCAAGTGCAAAAGTCGCCTCACATCACTTATTTCTTCTATCCCGATACTGGATGGGGAACAGGACGAAATGTGCTGTATTTTGCTGCAATAACGAGATCCCCAAAATACCATTATTACATTTTCATGGATGATGATGTGGTACTACATTTCAATTCATTTGCTTCGCCACAAATAAAGAGGCTTCCGCCGTTTAGAGTCTTCGAACAATGGCTCCTAGATTACGAGCCTGTAGTTGGCGTTGTGGATTACGAAGGGCATCATGGGGCCATCTGGACTATTGAGAGACGAAAGAAAATATGTAACAAGACGGACAGTCCCCTTGTGATACCAACAGTATGGTATAACGCTCTTTTAAATGCATTTCATTACAAATCTATCGAGCATCTCTTCCCTTACCGTACGCACTATGAAAGCACAAGCTGGTGGTCATCACAAAGGTACATTTTTTCTGCTGTGGAACTGATATTTCGAGGTCAGGCATTGATGTTTGTACCTGTTACTACGGGAAATTCAAAACATCGCTCATACCCAAGGTCTTTAAAGAACGAAAACACAAGGTGGAGAGATTACATCAATACGACTCGGCAGGAAGCTCCTTTAATTTACAGAAACAGGACTTTATTCGAAGATTTTAGGCAAAATCTTGAGGGTTACGTCATCAACACGAGAACATATTGCATGAATGTAACACGACATCAACACATTAAACCATACGCTCATTTTGATTTTCAGTCAGAGATATAGTTGATGAGGTTAGTGAAGAGGTAAACTATAGTTCAGCGATATTTCCTGGTCTTTCTTATTCTAGGACCAATCAGTAGATAAAATGCTAAACCCACCCAATTATAAGCTCCTTTGTTAGTTTATAAACTTGTTGAACAGTAAAAATGTCTGAACAAAGAGATGTCCGTGAGGAGAAGTTCGACTGAACTGCTATCACATTGGGAATCAAACCGTTTTTCACTTGTTGGTCGCACTCAGTTTATTTACTGAGGAAGTATTTCCTGATCCATATTTTTATTCATTATATCTGTGAGTTAGTACTTGCACTATGATTGGGGAGTTTAACGGGCCTCATTAAACTGTTCATACCTCTAGATTAAAGTTTCAGCTTTTCGAACCGAAATCATCGCTCTCTGTTTGAACCCAGAGATTCCATAACCTCGTTTTCTCGATTCGTATTTTTAATAAGTTAGGGAACCTCGTTGTGGCCATCCGAGAGGAAAAAACTCGGTCATTAAAGAATAGAAATAGAGGTCAGTGAGAGGTCTTTATCTTCACCAATAAAAATTGTGCATTAAATTATCGTAACCAACCGCGTTTTGAGATACCAAAGGGTGAACAAACTTTTCAGAAATTAGACTTTGAACGGCGCCATTGTAAAAACATCGTAGTAAGCTTTACAACTCTTGTTCGAGTTTTCTTTACTGGAACAGATTTTGGTGTCGATATTTGCTTCGGTTCAGGACTAGATAACTTAAAATTATGCTTTAAAGGCTGGCTTTCATTCTCTCTAAAGACTGGCTGTCACTGTCTTCAACTGGCTTGAGTTGTTCAGCCGGTTTCTCAGCTTGCTTCAGAAATTCCCGATTTCTATGGAGCATTTTAATGTCTGAACTGGATTTTACCCCATGGGACATGACTGATTGCCTCTCAATACAGGCACCCATCTACTAAGTTTGATTCCTCGGAAGGGGTGCAACTCTGACCTCTTGCCTAACTCCTTTTCTGGGATCTTGGGGTACTGTAGGTTACAAGCTGGGGGAAGTACGATCCTGATGCGTCTAGACATAAAACTCTATGCAGGGTTACTTTCCAGAGAGTCTATTGGTGTGTTTGGTTAGTCCAACGGGGCTTATCACGGGTCTTTGTTGTCTTTGAGAGCCTTTTTGAAAAAAGACTGAAAATTTTTCACAGCAGACTCCCCCTTCCGTCGAATCTGGTCATGCGGGAAGGAAGATAGGTGAGTGAACTCCCAATCGAACGGAAAGTGATGAAATTCATAGCTTGTAAACTAAGGAGCGTCCACCGTTTCTAGTTTTTCTGGTACGCCATTTCTGCTGAATTGTTCCTTGAATATTTCAATTACGGAACTGGAAGTGTTTTCTTCCAATTTCTTGAATTCTATGAAATCCTTGTAGAAGTCGACACGCATGAAGTCTGAACTGGTCAGAAGCTACTCGACTCTACGGATGGTCAGGAAATTCGTGACTCTGCAATGGAAGCTTCGGATTCTTAGCTTGAAGTTTGATGCAAATTGAAGGTTGCTTGATCTAGTCACGCACTTCTGCATTCATGCCAGGCCAGAATACGGTGTATCTGGCTTTATGCAGGCAAGCCTCTGCTCCTAAATGGCTGGATTGGGATCTGGATATTACTTTAGGTCTCAGTAACTAAGGGATGACCACTCTCCAACCTTTGCACAGAACACCAATATGTACTATCAGCACGTCACGATAAGAACAATACTCTCGGATCTTGATCAGCACTGGATCTTTGTTGATCCAGTCGTTGTGGTGTGTGGTGTGACCTTCAGGGCTTGCATACGGTCTTGGCTCTCCAGCTCCAGGGAAAATACTTCACATGATTCTTCTGGCCGGAGGTTTCATCCTGTGCGGCACTAGACAAATGGTCAGCTAAGAGTATTTGGGAACCAGGTTTGTACTTAACTGACAGATTCGTTATAGCCTGAAAAGCATTCTTTGGAGACGGCAAGGAGCTGATAGTAGAGACTTCTTAAATATCGATTCCAGATGCTTTTGGTCAGTTTACTAGATATTGGTTGAATCTTTCATAAGTAAAGACTTTTCCTAGACATTTTGGTTCGAAAGGACCTACGGATTTCTTCTTTTCCGATATCTTATCTCTGAAATCGACAATTTTCCTCCATCTCTCTTCTTACGAAGAATTTTTGAAGGCTTCTAAACGGCTGTCGATTTTCTTGTTAGGAAGCTTCTCTGCCCATCGATGAACGCGGCAAAGTTGCTCAAGGAACCGATTCTTCTCGCTTATCGAGTCCTGTTGCCATCTCATAATCGCTCCATTGCTGCTCGAAAAGTCCCAGTTGCCAGCAACATCACCACGGCACTTCATAAGAATTGGTAGCGGAAAATTGTATGGTAATAACTTGATGATAAATTGGAGTAGTAGGTTGACCTGAGCAAGGTGCTGGCGATGATGGCGTGGCGATTTGCGCACCCGACTCAACGTTGTCGTTGTCTGCCGACATTTTGTTACACTTTGAGCACAAGATTCATTCTGAAATGACGAAGAATAGAAGGAAATAGCATCAGGAAGGCGTCTGGTGTTCGAAAGAGGGTGCAGAATCCTTAAATGATATACTTTTTCTCCTGACGCTATTTTAATACATGTGACCCTTTAACCTAGTGAGTAGCAGCTACCAAGTGATGCAAGATTCATATATCGAAACAATCACCTTGTTTGGAAACTCATTGTCTCTATCATGTATTCCAATTATACGTATCACCTTCATGACGTTTATTTTGCGTACAGTGGAATTTTTTCTTAACATACCCTTACGATGCCGTAGATCGGCGAAAGCTTGGAACAAAAAAAAGGCAGAAACTCAAGGCCTCAATCGAATCCTCCGTTTAATCGACATGCAACTGAAGGTCAACTTTAATTATGATGCATACCTATAAAAACTCTGATTGGTCGAGAGCATACAGTCACTAGACAAAACCCGTGCGAGGCCTGGCATTGATAATGCATAATTGTGCTCAAACTCATCTGATAATCGTTTTACTTCTGTTTAGTATTCGTGCCACGTTGTACCATAAGGCTGTATCGTTGAAAGGTTTTATCGTTAAGTGGAGGTAAAAAGAACGTCACAAGCGCTCTGAGCTGTGTTGGGTAAGTATATTTGCGTAAGTTTGACTGGTTTATAGTTTTAAACCTCACCTTATAACTTAGCTGTTTCTCACAAAGCCGTATGGAAGACTGAGAAGGAATCGAGCTGGGTCAAAGAAAGCTTCTCAATCATTGTTTGACAATTTAGAAGCTGTTAAAATAATTTTTTTCCAGTTCTGCGCAAGCTTCAATCGCAAAAGCATTCTTAGAATCTGATGCTCGCTTGCATTATTTGTTAAGGGGCTTACAGTCGTAGATACAATGTGGTTTATACTTGTAAGCGTTATCTCAAACCTTAACTGTTTCACACAAAGCTGTATGGAAACTGAAATGAAATTAAGCTCGTTTGAGGAAGCTCTTAACTCGATGTTCAAAAACTTTGAACCTGTTGAAATCGTTTTTTGAGGACAGCTTGAGTCGCACTCTTAGGATCTGGCCCCGGTTGTTCAAAGAACTGATAACTGCTATCAGCTGGATAAATCGCTATCCAGTGGATAAATTTTAACCCCGGCGTCATATCGGTTGTTCAATGTATGGATAGTGCTATCCACTCGCTATCCAGCGGATAAAATTATCCATGGTTAGGTAGGTAGTATAAATGGCCGCTGCTCGAGGTTCGTTCCATGGTCAGATCGTTCCAAGTCAGATCGTTGCCCGACAATCAACTTCGAGATAACACCACAAACAAATATGAACCATGCCTTCTCAGCCATAATGCAAGTCCTTGTCCTGGCCTCGGGTTCGTTTCTGCATGTGATCGGAGATACTTTTCTAGGATTTGATGAGTCGACTGCTAGCCGAGTAGTTTGTCGTGTGACACAAGCGATGACTTTGTAAGATTTCCGTCCATTCGTGCGGAACGAGACGATATTAGGGAAAGTATGTTTCGAATTGGTGGTTTTCCTTGTGCCATTGGGTTTATCGACGGTACTCACGTTAGAATAGCTGCCCCTCACGAAAATGAGCCGCACTTCATGAACCGGAAAGGATTTTACTCCATCAAAATGTCCAGGCAATCTGCGACTATCGAGGTAAGCATATATGTCTAGCTCTGATTATTGATTTAGCAAGGGCAACATGTCCGTTTTACCCTAACCTTTACTGTGCATACTATCATATGTAAATAACAGGAGTTATTTTGTCCTAAATGTGGTCATGAAAGCCGTAGAAATTTCGCATCCAATGTATAACGCTTTTTTGTCACGTAAGGAGCAGTGTGCGACAGATTGTCTTAACGCTGATACAATTTACCTTGTAAACAAGTGAATGAAATTCATTTAAAATGATCGACTTTTCGAACTGTGCGATCACCCGTCTGTTTCTATTGCTATCAGATGTAATCAGTTTTGTTTTTTGCAAACGGGTATTGAGTCTTCCAATGGTGACATGACAAAAATGAAAATAATCTTCGGTGATCACTAAATGTGTTCTTTAACATGGACATTCTTTTAGTGGACTGCATTGGTTCAAGTGCTGGAACAAAGCATTATTTTACAGAGCATGCTCTCGCTCAGTAGCATTGTTTAATAACGTGTAATTTGTCGTTGCTTAAAGATACAGGCTAAGGAATGTCTTGAAGTTTACCATATCAAGAAAGGGATAAATTGCTTAGGGTTAGCATAGTTAATTGTTGTTTTAAGTTACGAACTGTGTTACATTGTTAGCAGCAATCCCATTCCGAATACTCTATTTTGAAAAAATGAATGAAGTGATCCCATGATTACTGCTCCAAATTTGAGGCCTATGTGTTTGTTCACATTATGACAATTTTATAGGTAGGAGTATCAAAATTTGTTTACATAACATAAAGCATAACAGTTAAAAACCAGCCATCCTATTCACGTCTATAACCGCAGTTCAAATATATGACTTCCATATAAAAACCAGTTGTTGTGTATTGAATACAATTGAATTTTGCAGGAATGTCTACTGATGTTGTGGCTATATGGCCTGGTTCAACTCATGATTGCCATATTTTCTGGACATTAGCCATATGGGGTAACCTTGAACCTCAACCCCTAAAGACCTCAGGAGGAGCATTCAACAGAGCACACAAGATCACAAGATGTAGCATAGAGTGAACTTTTGGATTGTTGAAGAGGAGATTCCATGTGCTACACTCAAAATTGAGGATGGCTCATGACAGGGTATGCACCATAATTGAAACTTGCTGCACTCTACACAACCCCACTGTCAACTTAAGGGAACCAGAGCCAGGGGACTGTGACATGGATGATGAAGGGTGTGCCGCTGACCTTCACACCCAGTACTCTGGCTGTGAAACTGGTAATGCTGTTAGAGAGCACAATGCTCACAACTTTTTTAAATTTCTACACAGGGGGCTAAAACTCAAACATACACTTGATTGTAATATGTTGACACATACTGTTAATAGCATGCGATTCTAAACAATTAGAACCAATGGCTTTATGGGAAATGTTCACATAGTTACATGATCAATGCTTTATTTTTTCATGATTCACTAATATACGAAGCCTGAGGAAAAACTTCGACAACCTTCAAACCCATATTTTAAATGAACTATATTTTCATTTTAAGTCTTTTAGCAGTGTCAGAAACAAGAATTAATGATGAGAATATTGACTTATCCAATCATTCCAACTTACAATTTTGAATATGTTCCTATGCCTCTTAATCTGCTGGAGGTGTAGGAATTTAGAAAGACAACAATATATGATACAAAAGTCATTGCAAAACCTCTAATGAGGCTTTCACGCACTTTGGCTTGAAATTGAATTCACTAAGGAAAGCAATATTATTTGTGGAGTTGTCTACAGACAACATAATTCTGCTGACGGCTTCTTGGAATATTTTGAAGAAACTGTTGATTGATATAATGCCACTGGTAAATCAATCTACCTCGTAGGTGACATCAACATAAATATTCCTAAGTTGGAGACTTGTAATTATGCTCAGCAATTTTTAAATTGCTTACAAAGCTATGCTATTTCACCAAAAATTGATAAACCAATAAGGGTCTATAATAACTCTGTCTCATTTTTTGATAATATTTTCTTAAACAAATTTCAATATTATACTGCCAGTGGGAATATTGGTTCAGATCTCACTGATAATTTTTCTCAATCTTGCATTCTTAAATTGACCATTGAAACCACCAAACCTCGAAAAATGGCAACTCGCGACTATTCAAAATTCTCTCAGCAACTGTTTTTGTAGGAATTGTCAGAACTCACATGGGAGTCATTACCATCCACTGAGGATCCCTCCAAGTTATTTTCCACCTTTTATAACAAGCTAAGTATTTTATAAAGCTGATAAACTAATCAGTGAGGGAATTTGAAAAGCAATAAAAAAAAATGAGCTTTTTCTCTAGTGATCAGAGACTATTGCACAGACAGCTGCTGAACATTTTGAAGAGAGAGGATACTCATGTGTTGTCCATACTTTAATTGACAAATTTAGAAAATTATAATCTTTTCAGTTTCATTTGTTGTTGTTATGTAATTTTATTCCAGTTTTAATATGTAATACCTTATTCACTTATCTATAACTTATCCTACTGTTCTTCATTGCTCGTGTAATTATGCATGCTCACCTAGTCATTTCCTCTGTTCAGTCAAACTTGTTATCAAAGAATTCATTTTATGATTGTTCCCCTCCTGCCTTGATTAGCTTCACTATTTTGCAGGTAGGGATTGTTAGATATGTATTTTAATTGCTAAAATAAATAGATGTTGTTGTTGATTCGTGGAAATCTTAGATGATGACAAATCTTTTTTTAGGAAAGTGTGAATGGCTTCTATATTCTATGCACAACTAACTGTGGTTATCATCTACATGTGTAACTATAATGCCATTGGCTTATGTGTTTTAGGGGTCCATGTTTTTGCAATTGAGGGTATACACTTGAAAGAAATAGTGACACTCACGATGGGCTTTTTGCAATAGTGCAATGTATATCCTACCTTTTAAAATAGGCATTGAGGTAATAGGCATTAGGCATGCTTGCTAGCATGCCTAAAACCTTTTATATTTCACCCCAAGATGAAGAAAAAGTCACACTGATTTTTTTAGCACTTGGAAAAGGAAAATTTTGGTGGAGGACGAATAATTTGTACTTCTTAACAAAAGCATTGAATGTCTACTTCTCAACCCTTAGTGGTAATTGTTCGAAATTCTGGAAGTTGGAGTTTGATATGGTCATTTCTTGAATTCACACAAATCAAGTGGTAGGCTTATCAGTTATTTCTTAACACAGTAAACTGCAAGATGCCTATTGTCACACTTGTATTACAAATATATGAAAGAAAGGAAAAACCAAGAAAAGTGCAGATGATACATCTGATGATGTCAACTTAAGGTGAACTTAAAGTGAGAAAATAACTTCAAATTAAAGTTTGGTTTCAACATCAATTCACATCCTATAACTGAAGATTTTTTCATTTGTATATGTAAAAGTGCCATTTTTAGTAAAGATTTCTGCATTAAGCATTGGGGTATTACATGGAATAATCCATGACCTTTAAACTTAATCTTATATAATTGTATAAATATTTCATAATAATGCCCCCTTCCCTTTTTTTTTTAAATTTGGATATATTATTTATATGTGGAATAGTTTAAGGTAAAGAGTTCACTCCATAGGCAAAAATGGCTCAGAAAAAAACTTATAAAAGGTCTAGGTTTTCAAGCTTTGTCAATTGTGCAGAAAGTCATGTTTGCTGATTTTGCCCTTTTCAAAAATTGGTGGGGGCATTTGAACACAATTTTTGTCCTGGCAGTGGGAATTTCAACAAACCAATCTTTAAAAGTTCAAATACCTGGGGAGCTGCCAGGAAAAAGGGGGGGATGTCGAAGATTCCAATTGATTGATGTATTAGTAATAAAAGGCAACCAAATATAAACCATTATGTAACTAAGCTTGAATGTGTGCATTTCTGGGGAAATGGTGTATCAGTGATATGAAAATATGGGGCAGCTGACCACAACAATCCAAATATTAACCGTTTCATAAACTGTCT